ATCACATGAGCCTTTCTAGAGCAACTTGGCACTTGCTGTGGTCACTTCATGAATCAAGGTTATTTATTAGTCAAGTCTTGAAGACTAGTTCCTAGAACTATGCACTCTGTCTACATTTGGGGCATGCTAACAACCTTTGTTATGAAGATAACACAACCTTACTTGCTGAAAGTGAAGAGGGCTTGAAACACTTGTTGTAGAAGATCAAGGACTATAACCTTCAGTATGGATTATATGTTTCAACATCAAGAGAACAAAAGTCACACTGGATCTTTTCCATTTCTTTAAACCCACTCTTCCAATTGTGTGACCCTATGATTATGTCCCCCACCCCGCTGTCCCCCCCATCCCACATGAATGCTCATACCCATTTTACTAGTTATCTTTTTCTATAATAATGGTCTTACACAGTATTTGTCCTTCTGAGACTGAGTTAGTTCACTTAGCATAATGCTCTTCAGTTTTTCCCCAGTTAGATAGTGTTTTACAAGATCTTTGTTCCTCCATGCTGTGTAGTATTCCATCATGTGAATGTACCATAATTTCTCAATCCATTGTGGTTGGTTCTGTTAGTCTAGGTGTGTTCTCATGACATTTGGACTGTTTCCATGTCTTTGTACTACTGTGAATGTGGGTGTACAAGTCTTTGTTTGTGCCTCAGTTCTCATTTTCTTTGTGTATACAAGCTGAATTCACACACAATGATTATAATAATCCATTACCATTGCATGGTGTACCTTTAAAAATTTTTATGAAAACAGTAAAAGCTCTTATTGTTTTTATATGTAAGCAGGAGTGGCATCACTTCCTAAACAATATGCCTCTGGAAACTCGATGAAGTTTGAAAAATGTCAGTAGTTGTAGAGGGGCTTCAGGCCTTTTGTTCATAGGGTCACTATGAGTCATGCTCGACTTGAAGACAACAACAAAACAAGGAAATGTCTTCACCATTATTCCAGTAAAACATCATGATAGAGGGGAAAGGATTGAAATTGTCAATGATTTTATCTAACTTGGATCCACAATCAGCAGCAATGGTAGCAGTAGTCAGGAGACCAGGAGACACGTGGCAAGTCCACTATCAGGGACTTTTCCAAAATACTAAAGACCAAAGATGTGTGCCTGATTCAGGCCATGATCTTTCCAGTCACTTGCTATGGATCTGAGAGCTGGACAATGAATAAAAATGACAGAAGAAGAATTGATACCTTTGAAGTATGGTGTTGGAGAAGAACACTGAACATCCTGTGGATTACACAGAGAGATAGGCCTTCGAAAAAAGTGCAGCCAAAGCGTTCCTCAGAGACAAAGATGATAAGAGTTTCATCTCACAAACTTGGGGCATGTTGCTAGAAGTTGTTCCTGGAAAGGTACATCATTCTTGGAAAGGTGGAGGATCAGCGAAAGAGAAGAAGATTCCCAATGAGATGGATTGACGAAGTGACTGCAGTAATGGGCTTTAAGTGTGTCAGCGATTCTGAAGATGGCACAGCATAGGACAGAATTCATAGGGCTGCTATAAGTCACACTCAGCTTGGTGGCTCCTAACAAGAATTACCAAATGTGCAAATCAGCGTCAATGGGAAACAATCATTTGGTTCAGGAAGTCATAAAATGTACAGTTTATGAAATGAACTTAATGGTATATGTACACACAACATCAGTTGCCATTGACTCTGCCCTGACTAATAGTGACCTTATAGAGAACAGAATAAAATGTAGTCCATTCTTGTGACATCTTCATAATCACCAATATGTTTTAATTTATTGCTGCAGAAATTGTGTGAGTCCATCTCACTCACTGAAGGTTCCCCTCATTCATGCTGATGTTACCTAACAAACACAATGTCCTTTTCTAGCAACTGGTCTTTTCTGATAACATGTCCAAAGTAAGGAAGCTAAAGTTTCGCCATCTCATTGTTCTTTTTTTAAAACTTGTTATTTGAATGAAAGTGTGCAAAGCAAATGGGTGTTTCATTATAGCATTTATACACAGTTTGTTTTATTGCATTAATTTAAACATTCAAAATGTGATCACACTTTCCCCCCTTCCTCCGCGTGATTCTCACTTCCATTCATCTTTCCATTCTACTTCTTCCTGCCTTCTGGACTTTGCTTCTCTTTGAGCAAATGCTTCTCTTTTGACTGTATATGATTCCTTGCCCTAAAAGATGAGTGCCTTCCTGGTATTCTTGGCTACCTTGTACACCTGTCTATTATAAAGTTCAGTTGTGAGCATGAGTTTGTTCCATGTTCAAAGGGTGGCTGGGAACCATAGTCCTGGGAGTTCTACCAAACTTTTTCAGTTTTGTTCCATATTTTCCCCTCTGCTATCCAGAATCTTCTTCTGTGATCTCTGTTAGAATAATCAGTGGTCGTAGCTAGGCAGTGTGGAGATCTACTGATCTCAAGGTTCATGGAAGCTGAAATTTGAAGGAGTTCATTAGTTGTTCTTCTAATGCTGATGTGTTCACTCTTAAAATCCATGTTATATTCATTATTCAAGCTGAAATACAGTCTTGTGTATACAGTCTGGTCAAAATCCTGACATAGGCAACAAGGTCAAGCCTGCTCTAGGAGTCAGTCCTGCCGATCTCCTGTTTTAGTTTCTCACTGGGCAGCAGATCTGCAGTACGCTGGGGTACGTCAGCCAGGTTGCTTCCCCTAGTGAACTGACTGGACTGAGGTCAGACATCACCAGCCCACTTCAGGGTCTCCTCCAGGCCTCTTGGCTCTGCAGGACTGATCTACACATCCAACCTGCAGCCATCTGGCGCAGAGTGTCAATGGCAGGATGGTGGCTGGGATGGATCACAAGAGGCAAGAGTGGACCTGTTATGTGGACACTGCTAAGGCAACAGGCACGTCCTCACACAGATGCATGCCTTGGATGCATCTGTCTCGAGCTGGACTCTTCCTGTCCTCTGCAGGACTGGGACACACTGACATTCTGGGACACGCTTAGCTGCTGCACACGCCTGCTTGTTCCTTCTCTCGAGAAACGGCACTGCTTGGCCTGTCATGAGGTCATTAGCCCAGGCACCCAGGAGAGCTGGGAAATGGCTCCTCTAGCATTTCTTGTCTCGGGGAGTCACTTGCACCCTCATATGGCTGGGAAATGGTCTAGTGAATTTAAATACATTCATATCTGCAGAGTGCTAAGAACAGTCCCTGGCATATGGTAAGTGCGCCATAAGTGTTTGTTAAATAAAACTTGGAGGAAAATAGTTACACTCAGACATTCCCAGATGGGAGCTGGAAAGGGTCATCTGGTTCAGTAGCTTTTCAAACCTTTTTTAGCCATGGAATCTTTTGTTGTTGTTGTTGTCTTAAAAGGAACCTTACTTGGAATTAAAATGTAGAGTAGATAAAAATGGAAATCTCCCTGACTGATACACGGGAGGCAGACTAGGGTCTAAAGTCCAGCTGGCTCCATGCTCCTTGGCAGCAAAACCTCTCAAGAATCTCTGTGAAACCCAAAGGTACCCTGTTGCCCAGTTTGGGAGCCACTGATCTTGTCTGTGTGCTCATAGGGCATGAGAGAAGACCAAGGCCCAGAGCAGGTGGGTGTACCTGAGACCCCACAATGACCTGGAGGCAGAGCAATTTCCAGCCTCCGTCTTCTGACACCCGGTCCAGCGCCCTATGCATTGCCCAAGGCCCCTCATCTGGGCTCAATTTGCCGAAGCTACTAGCATATGCACACTGGCACATCCATGCTAATCCTGCACAGCACACTTCCATAGCCATTTTCTTTCTGGATCCTTGTGAAATAGCCAGAGAGCGACTGCAGGAAGCAATTATGAGTGGTATGGTGGAGAGAGAGATCTGCATTCCACATCATTTCAGAGGCAGCCCAGCCTGGCACCAGAGTACAGTGGGGCCAGAAGGAGGTCCAGGCCTGTCACCAGGACTCCCCCATGCACGCTAGGTCTGGTGCCTCCACAGACCCTAGGCTTCTCTCAGCACTTGCTCCCTGAATTGTCCTTTCTGGGTGATTCCCTGCTCTCTGCTCTGTGTTTACTGTTGAATCTCTTCCAAGACAGTACACAGTAGCCACTTGGGAAATATTTTGAAAGGAAAGAATATCTAAATTCTTGTGCCTGTTCCCTACCCCACCCTCCTTTACACTTTGTAAAGAAGCAGTCTTTGTCTCTTCTTAACTGAGCTCACTATGTTCATTGGGTATGTTTTTTGTGCTGGGAACTGTCTAAGCTCCTACGAACTCATTCAATCCTCACCACAGCTCTGAGACAGATCAGTCATTAGCCCCATTTACAACAACAAAATAAAAGAAATTCTTTAAAAGGAAACAGAAATAAGACTTTCAGAAGGACCACCTTGACAGAACCCAGTTCCAGTGGGTAGACCTGGGAATCTGGTTTCTGCATGACACTTCAGATGATCGGAGAAGTTCCTGTGTGTCCTCAGGCCCCAGCATGGTGGCCCCGTGCATTGAAGAGCTCTGAGAAGTTTGTGATGGCTCAGGTGGCTTGTCCCAGCTAGAGCAAGGCTCTGGGCAAGGTGGCATGTCATCTGAACCTTGACATCTAAGTGGAGTGTTTGTTTGGTTTTGCTCATTTGTTTCCATTGCTTTGTTTAAGGGTTCCCTTCATGACAAAATTAGCCTGTGCGTCTTCGAGAACGCATCTTACACACAGGAGAACAAAGGGGTTAAAAAAAAATGCTTGCTGTCATGCCTAAAACCTGATACAGTAAGGGCCCTTTCTTTTCTGTGTTGTTAGATGAGATGTGAGACTCCAAGGTAGAACAGGCCTGGGAACAGCCTGTGAGGGGAAGGGCTGGAGAGGAGGAGGAGAGGGAAATGCGCTCAGAGAACAATGAGTGAAGAGCAGAAAGTGCGCACACCGGCTGAGCCCCGTTTGGCTGGGCCCTCATATCCATGCCTGTGGCCTCACGTCCAGTGGGAGGAGAGCCAGACCCGGAGGCCAGTCCCATCCCGAGCACAGCCCTTACTCCCCTCTCCTTCCTCTGCCCAGGTGCTGTTTGCTCTGAACCAGACGCTGCTGCAGCATGAAAGCGTACGGGCTGGAAGCCTGCAAGCACCATACACCACCGAGGACCTCATCAAGCACTACAACTGTGGAGACCTCAATGCCGTCATCTTCAACCATGACACGTCCCAGGTGAGGCCTCCCTCCTCTGCCCAGACAACCGCTGGGTCTCTGCTCCAAAGGCTTCAAACCAGGTCCGTGAGAACCTGCCTGGGATATTTTAGATACCTACTGTGTGCCAGGCACAGGCAATCTTGCCTCCGGTTATGGCCGTTCATCTCATTGCTGCCATTTCAGAACTATGACTCATAGCTGATCTTACAGTAGGTTTTCAGAGGCTATAAATCACGCAGAAGGAGATTGCCTTTCTTCCATGAAGTTGATGGATTCAAACTACCTGCCTTTGGGTTGGCCGCGTAACTCCCTACCCGCTAGGCCACCAGAGCTTTCTTCAGCTGTGGTAGGCAGGGACTATTGTTATTCCCATTTTACAGATGAGGAAACAAAGGCTTAAAGAGAGGCAGGGACTTGTCTAAGGCAACACAATTTATCAGTGATGGAGCAGAAACTTGAGGTGAGTCTGCATGACTCCAAGGCCTGGAAGCTTAGCTCGTCAGAACAAAGAGGCCACTGGGAGACTCAGTTCAATGTCTAGAGAAACTGAGCCACAGGAAGGGAAGCTCCACAGTGACTTGGAGCTTAGATGTGAGTCCAGTCCAGCACATCTTGCCCTGACTCGTGGTGTCCTTGAGGTAAGATTAGGCCCAGGCTGGAGAGACAGTGGGTAGACTCCATGGAGCTGAGCATGTCACTTCCCCTGCTCAGCCTTCACCATGGCCCCTACCCCACTGGCTCCAAGACCATTCTCTGGGACCTCTGTGGCCTTCCTTCTCCCGACCGTGTCACCCAGTGCTCTACCCGCAGACCCTGTTCTGTGGACTGTGGAATCTGTGGTTCCTCCCTCACTGCAGTTTGTCCTTTCAGACTTCTAGGGCTTGCTCGACTTCCTCTAACCCCTGGATTCCTTCTACTTGGCCGAAGTCAAACGTTACCTCCTCTGGAAATCCTCCCTTTATCTCTTGCTGTTTCCCCATTCCTCTTCTATCGTGTTCCCCTCCACCATGGTATTTTAGCATCCATTCTTTCAGTAAGTGGTTGAATTAATCAGAGAAGACCACTTCTCTGTCCCAGACTCTACATGGTCTCGCATCTTCTCTCACAGTAAAATCCCGTGTCTCTGGGCTGGCTCGTGTAGTCCCCCTGAGCTACCATGGCCTCATCTCCTCATCTCATTCTGCTCGCACCCTCACATGTGCAACTCCAGCCAAGCTGCTGTTCCACGAGTCCACCTGTTAGGCTTCTGCCTTCGCACTGGTTGTCCCATCTGCTGAGAATGCTCTTTATCACCAAGGCTTCCCCCCTCACTTCCTTGGACACTCCACAATCCTTATCTCAGTGATACTGCCCCCAACTATCTAACTTCAATTTGCATCCCCTGAATTATAATCCATTTTTTCTGTAGCATTTACTAAGTTCCCTGGGTGACACAAATGGTTTGCAAAAAAGCTGTTACATTAAAAACTAATAGTTCACATTCATCCTGCAATGCGTTGAGAATCTGTTTCCATAAAGATTGCGTGTCAAGAAAACCTTAAGGAGAGCATGTGACACTGTGAATTGGAGTGAAATCTGATAGCGACAACTTCCTTTGAGTTTTGCCTTTAACGTACTATCCACATGTTCACTAACTAGTTATTATATATGGAGCTCTGGTAGCTGCATTACAATCCCAAAGGCACACAGTTCAAATCCTTCCATTGCTTCATATCAGAAGGCTGGGCAGTCTCCTGCGGTGTGATTTACTGCTTCTGAAAACCCACTGGAGGGTCAGCCACGAGTTGATTCCTACTTAGTGAAACACAACAACAGTTATTAGATATATTTTTTTGTTCCTTCCCAACTAGAGCTAATAATGAACTAGAACTAGGGCAAGGATTTTGTTTTGTTTCATTTTCATCAATATACCCCAGCTGAGAAGTGCAGTTCCTAGGAGAGAGGAGGACAAAGGAAATATTTTTTTTTTTAATGAATGAATGAAATAGTTTATCCGTGCCAGGAACAGTGCTTAAAAATGGGAAATGGGGAGCGATTTGCTTGTTCTTTGAGGAGACAGGGTGATTCAGCCAGCAACTGTCCCACAGTGTGATCCTTGCTGTGAAGAGTCATTTCCTCTGCCTTTGAGTCTGAACTGACTCATAGCTAAGCCTTCAGCATGTTTCCAAAGCTCCACAACATGGCTTGAAACAGTGACTATTAACAATGAGCTCAAGGATCTCAGAGATTGTGAGGACGGTGCAAGGTAGGGAAAGATTCAAATCTATTGTCATAAAGATACTATGAGTCATAGTCAACTCTACAGCACCTAACAATAATAACACATTACTTGGGATGCATGACACCCCTTGCCAATAACTGGCCTCTCCTAACAACATGCCCAAATAAGTGAAACAAATCCTTACCTTCCTTGACTCCAGGGTGCACCCTGCCTGCACTTTCTCCAAGACATACTCATTTATTCGTTCTCTTAGCAGTCTATGGAATATTCAGTACTCTCCTCCAGAACCACAACTCATAGCATCTGTTTTTCTTCTGTTATCTTTAGTCATTGGCCAGCTTTTAATTGCATAACAAATAATTGAAAAGACCATGACTTTAATCAAATGCACCTTAGTCTTTAAAGTGGCATCATTGAAATATGTCAATAGGTATTCCATCAATTCATGGGACCTTATCTTTGCCAGTGCCTTCAATGCAGCTTGAGCTTCTTTCATTACCATTGGTTCCTAATCATATATTACTTCCTGAAATGGTTTCATGGCAGCCAGTTATTTTTGGTACGGTGACTCTGTGTCTACCCTTCATCTTCTGCTGCTGTTCCTGGATCATTCAAGATTTTGAATCCTTCAGTATTGCAACTTGAGGCTTGAATTTGTTTTTCAGTTTCTTAACTTGAGAAATGCTGAAAATACTCTCCCCTTTTTATTTTCTAACTCCAACTCTTTTCACATTTCATTATAATACTTGGTTTTGTCTTCTTGCACTGCCCTTTGAAACATTCTGTTCAAATCTTTTCCATCACCATTTTCTCATCTTGGCCTCTCAACATTCTAGTGCAATTTTCAGTCTCTTCTGACGTCCATTTGGACTTTTCTTTCTTCTCCATCTTTGCAGTGATCTTTTGCTTTCTTCCTGGATGATATTCTTGATATCATCCACAGCTCATCTGGCCTACAATCATTAGTGTTCAGTGTCTAAAAAATAAAATAAAAGCAAAAACAAACAAAAAACTCAATGAATTGCATGCTGTC